ACAAAGGTCGCTAGAAAAAAAAACTATTTTTTTATATCCCGACTCGCGTTAGCTTTGCACCTTTTTTTTTTTTCTCTTTTTCTCTTTTTCTTAATTTGTTAATTAATAATTTTAGTAAAAATTATGGAACATCTAGCATTATTATTTATATTTTTCTTATAGCATGTCAAGGATAAAAAAATATATAATATTTTTTATTTTAAAATTAATATATGTTTTAGATTATATTACTCTTATTATTTATAATTTATTTTTTGAATTTGTCATTTCTTACGAAAATCCCCATCCTGTTACTTTAAAAAACATTATAAAATTTGATTTACTAATAAAGATAACTTATTTTTCTCTATATTTGAATTTTAGAATAAAATTTTTTAAAAATAATTTTTTTCTTAAAAAAAATTGATATATATATAAACACAAATACCCAAGGCTCCTAGCAGAACTAGTGTATTAGGATTTGAGCCCGTGACATCTTGCAAGAGACCACCACCAATGAGCTCCAAGCTCTTTGGTTAAATCGATATATTATATATCATGAAGTTTTAAAATTTTTAAATGATAACGGCATATATATAATTATAATTTTTTCTTAAAAAAAATTGATATATATATATATATATATATATATATATATATATAAACACAAATATCCAAGGCTCCTAGCAGAACTAGTGTATTAGGATTTGAGCCTGTGACCTCTTGCAAGAGACAACCACCAATGAGCTCCAAGCTCTTTGGTTAAATTGATATATTATATATCATGAAGTTTTAAAATTTTTAAATGATAATGGCATATATATAATTATTTTAATCTAAAAAATTAAAAATATATTTCAAATAATTTCTCTCGATCTAATAAGTCTGGTCATGACGAATAAAAAATTAATAAATTATCGATTTTATTAAAAAATAACTATATATTTTTGCACATAACACCAACTATTTGCTATGAATATATTTTTTTTAACACTATATAATCAATTTCTTTAAAATAATATAATTAAAATATTTTTATAAAGAACCTCTTAATAATTCAAATACAATTTTTATGCTAACATTATTGATTATTTTATAAATAAATCAAATGCATATATTTTTAAAAAATAATCTCTACATCAACATCAAATAAGAATATTTTTTAATTTTTATACAAGTCTATATATTAATTATAGATTTATTTTTTGGATCCAATCTTATGAAAATATAGTTTTACAATTTTTTTAATTCTTTATTAATTTTTAAGTTTAAATTATTATAAATTTTTCATATAAAAATCACTTTTTAAGTAAAATATTTATGAAAAACATAAAAAAAATTATTAAATATAAAATTTTATTTAAAAATTATAAAATTTTGAAATGATTTTATTGAGTAGGTAGAGAAACAGCCACAACCACAATTAGTTCTATTATGAAATTCATCATCTCATCAGTATCTTAGCAGGTACAAAAATTTCTAGAACTAGGCAAACAGTGAAATCTGCATTAAATTTTGCCATCCATTTCTTCCAACAAAAAACAAATTGCAATAAAGAACAATAAAACACCGAATTGATGGTTGGATATTGTGATTAGAACATTGTTATCTGTTTCCTAATTAATCAATTCCATTCCTCTTGTCCCGTTTTCTTGTAACTAAATTTGCTTCTTCATCATCATCATCAATTCACGCCATTAATCTAGGCTACAACTGTTAGATTTTAGTAATCAAAGGCGCATTGCACTCTCTCTTTCATATTTTTCTTGCCTCCCAACCTACCAAGCCAACGACATGCTTAAATTTCATTTAAATTCGATAACGTCAACAATAATATATATTAAGAATAAAATCCTTCTTAATTGCACGGTACAATATATTTTTGCTTTTTCCTTCGGACCATATTAACCTTTGAATTATCCGATCTTACCAAATCGATACAGCAGACCTGATGGGAAAGGTTTATTAACGGAGGAAAAAGCAATTTTTTATTATATTATTATTATCAAGTAGTAATATTTTTGCATCAGTCCACATATGTCCTTAATAATTTCATGGGATTTTTTAGTGCTAGTTGTAAAATCACTAGAGTGCTTCATAGAGTTTGAAATCGAATTCTACTCTATCCACGCATAAAAATGAGAATGAATTAGATAAAGAAAGAAGTAAACATCTTTTGAATTTCTAATTAAAAAAAAAAAATTAATATTGCTGATTTCAAATATCCATTTAGAAGGTTTTGAATAATATAAAAAATTTGACAGTTGTGTCACATGAGACCGTCAGTTAAAGTTCAACGAATTTTACTCATGTACAGTAATTTTATTTTTTAAATTATTTTAATTGAAATTTTGTATTTTTATCTTATTAATCAAGTCACTGTGTTCTTTATTTTATTTTGTTTTCAACCCTTCATTGTCATATCATTAGCTGTGAACTGATATAGCATAACATAATGTGCCCACTCTTTTATGTATAACACATCATATGTCAAAATTTTAATAAAGAAATTTAATTAAAATAATTCAAAAAAATATAAGATTTCAATCCAACAGTTTAAAAAATATAAAAACTAAATTATTATTTAATTTTTAAAAGCTCATCTAAAATTTACGAAACATGCCATATATGAGATCACATCACACAATAAAACTCTAAAATATTTTCTTAAGAAAAAATTATTGTAATAATTTAAAAATAATAAAATAATAGGTAAAAAAAAATCAACCTAACATGTAATTATTTAAACAAAAATATAATAATATGCAATATCGATCAATCACATATGCTCAATGAATGGGTATAACCTTCCATAAAAATGTTTTTTTTTTAAATCAAATATTTGACCAATTTAAAATGAAAAATGAAATTTTTTTCTCAAAAAAACTTGAAACTTAACCATTTTTTTTCTTTAATATAGACAAATAGCTATTAATCAACATTATTATTATTATTTTAACGAGAATATTTGTATTCTATTTTTTAAATTGCATGTTATGCATTTTATTATTTTTTAAATTGTTGTAATAATTTTTTTAAAATATTCTTTAGAATTTTGTTGTAATGAGATGCCACATAAGACACATTTTGCAGCATTCAAGAGGAGATCTTAAAACTACAATAACATAAAATATAAAAAATAACAATTTGATCTATACACTCTTTGAAGCTGTTTTGATTGAAATTTCGTACTCTTTGAATTGATTTGATTAAGTTTCTCTATTGAAATCTTACATATAATATATGTCATACATTCCATAATGGATGCGTCACATCAATGCTACATCAATTAATAACTAACGACGTTATAATGAAGTGACAAAAAAAAAAAACATAATGAAGAGTAGAATGATTCAATCATTGTGAAAAAAAATACGAGTCTTAATCGAAAAAATTTGTAAAATAAAGGGACAATATATTGTCAAAACCCAAAGTCCATTCATACCATCAATAATTTATTTGATAATATTAAATGGGCTAAACTTCTCGAATTTTAACTCATTTGAAAGTGAGTTTCTGAATTTTAAATTTGATTTTTAAAATCTCCGATTTTTTTTTTTTGAGATTTAACTCATTCTTCAATTTTCTATCATTTGTTTCGAAAGATAACAATCACATAAATAGCTATATGATAAAAATCATTCGGTGCGATTTATATAGAGCTTCTTAAAAAAATTGAGATATTTTTATTTATATTTTTTATATCCAATAAATAAATAAATATACTTTTTAATTTTAAAAAATTCTAGGATTTTTGTAAAAAAAAAATAGATTGGATTTTTTTCAATATGTGTGTAAAATTTCAATTTAAAATATCAAGAATTAATTTTTTTTAGAGAAAAGAATGATAGCTAAAAATTATTAAATTAACTAAATCACAAAAAAATTACAAATTCAGGGATTTCTAAAACCAAATATAAAAGTCATAAACTTATTTTCAAATGAGTTAAAATTTAAAAAAAAAACATATTTAACCATTTGGTAATTAATAAAAATTACTGAGTGATAATTAAGTACATTGTTAGATTTTTTTTTTGTTAAAAAAGAAAGAAAGAAAGATATATTATAAAAGATATATTTGATAGATGTTAATATGGTAATAATCATCGCATTGGACATTTGCTCGAATGACAGTCAAACAAATCTTTGAAAAGACAAAAAAAGATTAGGAGAAGGACAGTCAATGATGTGAAGGACGAAATTAATAATTAGCTAAACAACCTCCTTCAATTATAAACGAGAAACATTCAAGCTTTCAAGTGGCGAAGTTATAATAAGAAACCCAAACTATCAATGTCGGTACTACTTATACACGTGCAACAAGAGCAAGGCTTGAGTTTACATCATGCAATGGTAAATGCCAATCGCCAAAAAACACAGGCCCTTGGCCTTAGGCCTCAGGCCTCAAAGAAAAGTGAAAAACTAGGCCACAAAGACGTAGCCAAAAGCTGTTGGTATTTGGTAATAACGGCTCAATTCTCAAAAGGAAAAGGTTAACCAACCTTAAATAGTAGCTAGCAGTCACCAGTGTTAGCTTATGTGTCAAGTGCATGTAGTTTGTTTGTTTGTTTGTTTTTTTTTTTTTTTTACCCAACAAACAGACACTACTTAGATTGTATCAACAACAAAATCAAATCTTTGGAAATTGAGTAGCAGCATTGCTTAGCTATCATTGGTTTTTTCAGAGGAAAAGAGGGAGACTATTGGAGTTTACTTAATTTGGGTTTGGCATCATCGCCCTCTCTTTCTTTTTTCTTTTTCTCTTACATCCTCGGACTCTCCTAAGATTGAAAAAAAAAAAAAAGAGTGAATTTTTTTCCTTGCCAAATCTAACAAACACCATTTTTTTACACATATTTTATCGAAGTCTCATGGCCTGTATCTCTGTATACACTTGTCTTTTCATTTTGTTGTCTCATATATAAAGCTGTATCAATAAAAGATCCTTGCTCTTTTCTTTTTTCACTTTTCAAAAATAAAGATTTCCATTTCCTGGTAAGAGTTTTTTTAATTAAAAAAAAATGGCAAATTCATCTGGGTTCTTTAGTCCTTCAGTTCCAAGCCTCAGAGGGAAGATTAAACCTTCAATAGGGGTTATTGGATCCGGGATTTGGTCCACTGAAGGAATCTCAAAGAGAGTGGTGTGTTCCAGCAAAGTTGAAGGTTCAGAGAAGATTTCTCCTCCTCAATCTCGACTGCCCAGGTCAGCGTTTTGGTTATTTAATAGCTTTTTTTATTTTTTTCAAGTCTCAATTGGCAAATGGATCGTTAATGCTAGTGGGTTTTGATTAGTAATGCTCTTGGTTATTTATTTGACAGTGAATATTTGCTTGAAGTTGACAAGTTTTGTAGAGTTCGCAGCTTAATTGCTGTTGCATGAGCCCTTGTCATTGAAATTTCAATTTAATGAAAGAATCAAGTGGGGTTGACTTTGTTGGTTTTGTACGCTTGAGGTTATATATGGGAATAGTGTGCAAATTTTGTTGAATTATTAGCTGGATATCAATTGCAAGGTGATTTTTTAGAGGATAGCTTTTCAAGGATATCTTAAAGTGATGATGAAGAAGGATTTCGGTTTAAGCAGGTCATGGAAAGTTAGAGAGCTGAAAAAACTCTATTGAGTTCATAGAAAATTGACTAGTAATGGAGTTTACTGATTATTGGTTGCGCAAGTTGGTGCATGACGTTCTAGTGTCATGTTCTTTTTCAGATGAATCAACTACCAAAGCAACGTGAATTATTGTGTATATGATGAGGGAATGCTTTAACGATATCTCGGTGACTGTTATATAGATATAGCAATTGGTGAATAGTTAAGTTAATCGACAACATTGAGGTTTACATAGCACCCCATTGTGAGCAATGATTAATTTGAATTGATCGGCTATCTCGATTTGTATTATCTCCTTGACATGTTAATTATCTTTTTCAATTTGTCTGGTTTTTAGGAGGCTAATGTAACAGCACTTCAATAAGTGAAAATGAACTCTTGGCTGTTAGAGCTGCCAAGGTTGTATGCCAGAGTAATACGGATAACAAATTAGAGTTTCCGTTAACAAAACAGGTCGCATTCATCAGGTTGGCTTTGTGAAGGACTGAAGGCGATTGAGGAGTATGGAGCCTGAATGCAAATGCTGCTTTCTTTCCTCTCCGTCCTTGCTATTTCTTGTTGATATTTTATTTGCTGAGGGCATCAGTTTAGTAGCCAACCAGATAAATTTCAGATCCTCTTTCGATGTTGATCACTGCATTGGTTGTAGGATTGCATTCATCCTTTTTAGATTGATTTCAAATGAATATGATTCACTCAACAAACCATTTTCCTTCATTCTGCACTATTTAGGGCAATATTTTTTGTGATATTTAAAATTTAAAATTCTTTCTTTATAACTTTAACCAACACTGGGATATGGTTCATTTAATTTCCTGCCTTAATTTTTTTCTTTTTTGCAAAATCATGATTTCCATTAAACATATAACAAGCTTCGGCTCAATAACCAAGTTGATAATAGGTCATGTTTTCAGCTAGATCTTCATTTTTCCCCTTCATGTGTCTTTCGCTTACAGAGATCGAATGGTATCATCGTGAATAGCTTGGAAGGGCAGTGAAGCTATTATCTGTGAACCACAGATTCCAGTGCAAAATATAGATATTTTTATTAGCAACTGACTCGACTTAATTTCTTTGTGGAAAGGAATGAGCAGTTGGTTGAAGCTTACAATTCATGATATGGTGATTATATTCCAACTAACAAAGTTTAATTACCATAAACACTGTCATGCTTGAGTTTCTAAAATATTTATTGTACTGGTCTGCTGCTGTTTGTGTTCCGCAAATTTTGGCATTCTGATTTCTTACACTGGCTAGTAGTGTCACTTTGTACCATGAGCCCTGCCTGGGCAAGAGGCACCCTCAGGCTGGATGTTTTACATGATTTAATTAATCAAAATCTGTGTTAGAAAAATAATAATCTTACTTAGTTATTCTTTTTCCACAGGCTCGTCAGTCAAGGCTGCAAATTAGTTGGTTGTGGCTCAGCAGTTCCAAGTCTTAAGATTTCAAATGATGACCTTGCAAAAATAGTTGATACTTCCGATGAATGGATATCTGTTCGCACTGGCATTCGCAATAGACGAGTTATTACAGGTTGGTTTTCAACTGCATGCATTTCAGTGTCATATATTGGATAGCTAGGAACAGTCTGGATGTCTTGGCATGCTTTACTGCAGCCTCTTAATTACAATTCTTGAAAGCTGCACCTGAGCCTAGATGAAGGGCGATCATCTTTCAATGACTATGAGGGGATTGCATGATCACATGATGCCATTTCTTGTTTCCTGCATTATGATATCTTTTGAATACATCAATTAGGCATCTCTTGCGCTATTTTATTTTTCCTTGCAAATTGTCTACTTTTCATTGTTGCTGTATCACAAAACATTTATGTTGTATTTTGGGTCCTTGCATTATTGCTATATGATGATTTTTTACTAAGTGGAAGGTGCATTTACTTTTTTGACTCAAGGGATCTCTTTTGTTGCTAGTATTTAACAGCTGGTTCTTGTTATCATTATTACAGGAAAAGAGAGCTTGATATCTCTATCAGCAGAGGCAGCAAGTAAAGCTCTTCAGATGGCAGGGTTGGACCCTGATGATTTGGACCTAGTCTTGATGTGCACTTCTACTCCAGAAGATCTTTTTGGTAGTGCTCCTCAGGTATTGGGTTTATAGGATACATAATCCAAACTGTAACAAGTATACGGATCAAACTAGTAGTTTTCATATTTGAGGTTTGGCTTCATGGTTGTTCGTGTTCTGACTGAAGTTGCATCATGCATACATATGTGCATAGACTAAGAATGGTTTTTGGAAATGCTCAAACAAACAGTCACACATTTTCTCGTGGAAGTCTTAAAATTTGTTGACTATTGATTTCTTAGCACTTTTATTTGTTTATTGTATTCTTTTCTTTCTGTATCTAGATATCTTCGGTTTCTTAGATGACATCTTAGTTTGATTTTACATGAATATCAAGTCTGAAGAGGGTCATGCAATTTTTTTTTCTTTTGAATGGGGCTTGGGCTTAATGTTTCTGCTTTGTTTGATTTGAGGGGTGGAAAATTAAGAGATAGAAAAATGATTTTCAACTCGTATCCTTAGTAGGAAGGATGAATTATCAGAGAGCAAGAAACAAGTTTTAGTATTTGATCATCATGTCCATGCATGTGAAAATATTAAAATGCTACAGAAAAGGTATAACTTGTAAAATCTAACACCTTCAACTGCAGCTATTTCATTTTCCACTCAAAAGATATGGTTCAGATGCCAAACACAACCTTAAATATTTTCATCCTAATGCACTTCCTCTTCGCCAAACAATGAAAAATTAGTTTCTTTTCCAAATTCCCTCCTATTTCCAATCCTCTTGCATTTTCCTCCCACCAAGCATACCGTTTAGCCTGCACCAGTTAACTATGTTGTTTCAAGTAAATGATCATATATGCTGTTTCAGGTCTCAAAATCTTAGATACGTAATTTTCCATGGATGATTGTGAGCTGCACATTCTTGGGTGTCACATTGCGAAAGAGCCACTTTAAATTTGCATGGCATAAATACTTTAGTTATGACCTCATTTGACTAGCTTTTTGTCGTGACCATTTTCAAGACTCTTCTATGCTCTTTTTTTTTTTTTTTTAATTGAATTCTCAGGTCCAAAAAGCTCTGGGCTGCAAAAGAAATCCCTTGGCATATGATATTACAGCTGCATGCAGTGGATTTGTGCTTGGTCTAGTCTCAGCTGCTTGTCACATTAGGGGTAACAAACTTGTTTGGTTTGCTGTTATGAATCTTGGTTATTGCTTTCATGGTTAAATGATATGATTTCACTGATGTCACTTACAGGAGGTGGGTTTAAAAATGTATTGGTTATTGGTGCTGATACTCTTTCTCGATATGTTGACTGGACGGATAGAGGGACTTGTATTCTCTTTGGGGATGCTGCTGGTGCTGTAGTCGTACAGGTAGTGTTCATTTTTCTCTTGAATTTTTAGTCTGCACTTCTAGCTGAGTAATTTCAGTAGTTAAGTATGAATCTCATGCTATTTTGGAGTCTAATTTTTTATTTTTTTTGATAATGATGGTGGGGTTTTATGTCAATGAAGCCCTTCACTTTAATGTTAATTCTAACTTACATTGTGAATCAGTTATATTAACTTATACTTGAAAGTAATTAAGAGTTGTTAATCACCTTGCATCATGTTGGTACAGTTGTAGGTTGCATCAACCTTTTAGTTTCAAAGAAACATAGGAAGAGAACCAAACATTTCCTGTTCTAACTGTCTCTGAATCATACTTGGTATTAGAGGAACTGACAGCTAGATTCCATCTTCCCTTGGATTAAGCAGGTTTGTATAAGATAAAATCATAGTGTGCTCAGACAAACCACAAGCACTGTTATATTGAATTCCAATCCTTGTCTCCAGTTAAATGCATATTCTCAATTACCGAGCTTCAACAGCACTCAGGCTGGAGAAAAAATCTTATATCATTATTTATGTCAGATTTTTGTTTTGTTGAAGGTATTTATGAACCCAAAAGGCACACAAGATGAAAAACTGTTTAATTTATATAGCTGCTCGAATATGGGAATTGCCATACTCATGCTTTTCTTGTGCAATTATTTCGGACATTTCTATAATCCTGCAGGCCTGTGACAGTGAGGATGATGGTCTTTTTAGTTTTGATGTGAACAGCGATGGCGAAGGTCGAAGGTAGTGCTTCCTAATTTTCCCAAGTAAACAAACCCCATACTCCTAGAATGTGATGCAATATGTTTTCTCCATTGTTTGTTCAGACATTTAAACGCTTCCATCAAAGATAATGAAGTTGATCATGCATTGGGTTCCAACGGCTCAGTTTTAGACTTTCCTCCTAAACGTCTTGCCAACTTTTCCTGCGTCCAGATGAACGGAAAAGAGGTTTTCCGCTTTGCTGTTAAATGTGTGCCCCAGTCTATAGAGTCTGCTCTTGAAAAGGCTGGTCTCACTGGGTCGAGCATTGATTGGTTACTGCTCCACCAGGTATGAGATTGACATAATTCATATATAAACTTTAGAACTCCGATTTCAATCTAAAATGGAATCACACTATCAACCTCCAGGAGATCTTTTTTAAGACCTGAGGTTTTTGAAAATCATCTTTGGGCTGCTGATACTCGTTAACACTGCAAATTTTTTATTTTATATGGTACATGATTCTGGCCCCATTTTTTGTTCAGCAAATCAGTGAATTTTAAAATTCAATCTTAGCATGATGTATCATCTTCATCTCCATTGAGAGAATGGTTCAGCACGTATGTATTTGTGATTCAGGACCTTCAGGTAGGGTAATCAATAATAGGATAGACACAGTGATTCTCATATTAACTTCTATTAGCACCTTTAGGCATTAGAAAGTGCCAAAAGCAACCGAAAAGAACTTGATGTCCATTAATTGATTTTTTAATTGGATACTTAATTTGCAATGGAAAAGGTGTAGCTAAGTTCACCAATGGTAGCAACTGTAGCCTGCTGCAAATAAGTAGCTTTTGATAATTCAAGCAAGGTAGTTTACACAGACAGAATTTGTGAAAGAAATCGTGTGCAAATTATAGGAGACTTCTCGCAAAGCAATTCTTTTGAAGTTCTGTCCCACTCTCAAATTCTCATATGCTGATACACATTTTATAACAGAGCGCTTATAAGTAACAAAGATTAATTCCTGCAGGCCAATCAAAGGATCATTGATGGAGTTGCAACACGCTTAGAAGTCCCGCCAGAAAGAATCATATCCAATGTGGCAACTTATGGTAACACAAGTGCTGCGTCCATTCCATTGGCATTGGATGAAGCAGTCAGAAGTGGGAAGGTGAAAGCAGGCCATACCATTGCAACTGCAGGTTTTGGAGCCGGTTTAACTTGGGGTTCTGCAATCATCAGATGGGGGTGAAATCTTACACTTCGGACCAATAACCGTACAGAAGAGAAAAAAACTTCTCTGTGGCGTTGCAGTTCCCCAGTTCTCCCACCCAGTTCCATATGTATTTTGCAAAATCTCCAACAGCTCCCTTTTGTTTGTCATCTTTTTGTTGCCTTTATTGTTGGCACCTGCTATAGATTTTTTATTCATTTTCTTCAATTCCAGTGACTGTTAACAACTAGATATGAGCATCTCTGCATAAGATGCCCCAAAATTCGATGAATAAAAAGTAGAATAACATAATTTACTTCAAAATTGAGTAGCTTACAATGTTACAAATACAAATTATGTAATTTTCTCTCCACCTATGTAATACAGGTAGATAGAAGAACAAGAAAGCAAAAACAAGAATGAATAATAATTACAACAGCCACAGAGTTCTGGTCATTGATCAAAATCCCCTGCTTTCAGCCTAGAATTGATCCTCCGCAAAGCACCTTCAACGGCAATGTCAAATGCATCCTTTATAGCTCTTAAACCTGATGAACTACCATGCTTCCTGTACACAACTCTTGGTATCAATTCTATGACTCTCTCCCTCATCCTCCGGACTTCATTTCTTGGTATCCCCCTCAACACATCCAAAATCCTTAACCCCTTAAACACAACATCCTCCTTCGGTATAAACACAGCAAAGCCCCTATACATTTCCTCTGGCAAATGCCAAACATACTGTGACTTGGCAGATTGTTCTTCGAAGAAAACTGGTATACACCCAGCAACGATCCCATCAAACGTCGACCTCCTAGTTGGTGTATCTCCTGGAGGCTGCAAACAAAATGTTGCTTGCAACATTGGCCTCATATACCTTATTGGGTCATGCTCGCATATCCCATTAGAGCAATCCACTATATCACAAACTTTCCTCATGTTGGAGTAATCGTACCCTCCACCATTATTGACATAAGTGTTACTTCCATCACTAAAGCTGCTGTTTTCGCATTCATTCCTGATACTCCTCCTGATATTTGGTGTGGAACCAACACCACCCCCACCTGCAAAAAGCATCAGAGTGGTCCTCCTTGAAGCCTTAACACGTTTAATCCAAGACTCGAGTAATCCTAAATTTGGGGGGTGAAATGATGTCAAATAGGGCACAGCTTGTTCTTGCCAAGGCCAAGCTCGCCTTTCAACAATCAAAGCAGTAACATTATAAAACTCTGGCAATTCAAGAAATGAAGTACCCCAAATAGGAGGATCGACATCTACAGATTGAGAGAAATCCCAAGCAGGCCTTGACATGACCAAGAAATGATCAACCCCATGATTCCTTGACCATATCCAACCTTCATTTTCTTGTAAATAATAATACAATTCAAGCCCGTGTTCCATGCTGTTATTCACATCAGGACCATATAGATACCTCAAAGCATCAATTGCTGCATAGTAAGGTAAGTAAATGGCATTGGCTTGATTGGGATCTGATGTTAAACATGGGTATTCAAGCATCCTACGGTGGAATATAAGTTCTAACAACAAAGGGTTTGTACGGTACCAAGATTGAGACTTGTGGTGTGTTTTGGGGCCTAAACCATGGTTTGCTAGGTAAGGACAGAAATTTTCAAAAAGTGGGTATTCAGAACAGTTTGGAAGGAGATCAAGATTGAACCTTGGTGGTAACCGTCGGACGTGGATCCAACGGTTTCTGCAGTCTGTTTCTGGGTCTGTCTCCTGAGAATAGATTGAATCAATGGAGATGAAAAGGAAGCAGAAGAATAAGAAAGAAATGGTTTTGCAGGCCATGGAGATAGCAAAAGAGAAAGAAGAAAACTTTTGGTTAAAAGGAGAGAGAGTAAAGAGAACCATAATCATAAAAATAATAATGCCTTATATGTAACAAGATCGTTATTGTGTTTTAGGATGTGGTAGTGTCTTTTTTTTTTTTTTTTGAACTAAACTTATGTTGCGGTAATAATTTGTGAGTGCTCTTTTTCTTTTTAATTTTTTGTGTGTTGTATTTTGAGATAAAGATGAGGTGTTTGCTTTGTTGGGTTTCTTGCGCTGTCTGTGTTTTGTGAAAAAGATTAAAGAGAGAGTGTAGCAATTTGATTGGCAGAATGTACATATAGCCCAGTTGAACGGTGGTTAAAAATGGCCGTATTTGAGGAGAAAATAAGGAGAAAACTTAATATTGAAATTTGTGTTTTTTCTTTCTTTTTTTTTTTGTCGGAGAAACTATATGCTAATCCTTGTAGATTACATATTGTCTCATTTAATCCTCTATAGTTTTAAATTTCCAATACCGATCTTAGAGTTCTTCAAATAGTCCGATGAGTCTTTTTATTTTATTATTACAGAACTTGTGGAGCAATAATGGTATGAATTTTATTTTTTTTTGAAATTTTTAGAATCTAAAAGGTTTTTGAGAGACATTATCAAATGAATGAGGTTTTCATAAGAAAAGATAAAGAAAAATAAGCATTTTTCTAGTTCTCAATGGCTATTTAACAATAATGAAAAAACGAAAAAAATAAAATAAAATTAATGATATGTCAAGATGAGAGATAATGAAAATAAGAGTTGAAAATATATTTTCGTTGATATTGATAAAATTTAACACCATAAAAATATCTTTTTGTGTGTGTATATGTATATATATTATAATCAATGTTGCATATTTTCAACTTATAAGAAGCGAAGTGGAACTTCCAAATGTACAAGGACTAAAATATAGTTTACTCTTAAAAATTGGACAGAGAAAGAGACTGTTTTAAATTACATTTTTAAGGGAGATGGCAAAATTTGTACTTGCGGGAACAGATGGCAAAATATAGTTTGACTTTTTGAGTAAACCATTTTGTCGGTGGAAGAAGGTCGTGGTAAAACGAGGAGCACCAACTCCCACCAAATCCGGCGGGCGTTCTCTACTACCGCTACCGCTAATACTACTTTTGATCAGTTGCTTTTTGATTTTTGGCGCCATGGTGAGAAAAGGTAAAACAGTAAAATTTATTTGGGCTAATATGGCTTTTTCTGGGCTTAGCTCACATTTGGGTCACTTTTCTTGGGACAGAAAACTAAATTTGGTTTGTGTATATGGACAAACACACAGGCCAGGTATCTATGAGTCTTATGGACCGGACCTACTCAGTATGGGAGGCATGTTGTTTGTGTTTTCTGTTTCAGGAAATTTTGTACTACTCTCCTTTAGATTGGTCACACCCTAGGTTTCAGAATGAACAAGGACTCATTTTGACATGATAGTCTATTTTTCTTGATCAGGATGGCATGAAAGGTTGGAAAAATCTCTAGTTTAGACATTATATATATATATATATATATATATATATATATATATCGTTCAATGCTATCTTTGTTGAAGACTCAACTAGGGCCCTTATCCAACTATCAAATCCTCATTAAAAAAAAAAAAAAAAACCCCACCTTTTTCCTCCAAGGAACATTCCATTATTCTCTCCAAGAAAGCTCATCAAGATTCACTCTCATCTTCTTCTCCAAGATGCCAAGCCCCTTCTCTATCTTTTCTCGCAGCAGCACCACCAAAGAAACACCTATCCCATTCAAAGACTACTACACAAACTGGTTCAACACTCTTAAGAACACACTCCTCCCTCTCCTCCATCATTCCCTTTCCAGCTCTCCTTCCACTCCTACTCTCCTCTCTTCTCACCTCCACCTCATCCTCCACCACCTCCTCTCTTACTACGAATCTCTTGACCTTGCAGTCACCACCAATAGCAACAATCTTCCTTACCTTCTTTACCCTTCTTGGAGAAACTCCCTTGAAATACCCTTCTTGTTTCTTGGTGATCTTCACCCTTATGTATTCACTAACCTCCTCAGGTCATTTCTTGATGAAGCAGACAATGATGAAGACACCGATAACGACCGTCAAGTTTTAGTCTTTGATAGGCCTTGTCAGGTGGTGATGGCATGGAAAGACCCCTCTAAGCATTTGATAATCAAGATTGAGCAAATTGAGCGTGGACTAAGGTTAATGGTACCTGCACTTCTTGATAGAGTGAAAAAAACACAGTCAGGGTTTGTAGGAAAGGTTGCAGAGGAATGGGTGAATTGTGAGGGAAAGGAGAAAATGGATGTTAGTGAGGCAATGAAGGCTGAAATGGAGGAGTTAGTGAGTGTATTTTTGGATGCTAATAGGTTAAGAAGGAGTGTGATATCAGAGATTGTTGGTGCACTGAATGTTTATCAAGGGGCTCTGTTTCTTGAAGGATTAGCCCAATTTCTGGTTGGGTTTCAGGACAAGAATTTGCTCCGCGAATTCGAAAGATGCAAGACTCCTGTCAGTGAAAGAGTTGGGCTTTCACTCTAAGTTATCTTATAATCTTTTGTTTGGTCTGCAATGTGTGGGAGCATTGAACGATTGTCTCTTTGGAACTCCATGGTAAGAATCTTTACTTCAGTTCAATTTCTTTGTTAACTTCTTCTGATTTGAGGCTAAATCTTCGTTGGGTATTGTTTTTCTGCTGTTATGCTTGTGATAAAATCTTAACTTTGCTTGCTGGTTGATATATATCTTGTTGGCAGGTTATTGCCAAGAAAGTTGAGTACCAGTTGCAATTCTTTAATGGCAGGAAGCAAGAGTTTCATGTTAAATTCTATATCTAGGGAGTGATTCATTCATTTGTTCTTCTTTTAAATTTGATAAAAACTGTTGGAATTTCGATTCATTTGATTGATATTCGGTGAATGATGAAAACAATTAGTATGATTTCTAATAAGAAATTAAACGTTGAATTTGTTCATATAATGTATGGACTATTTTGTGAATGGAAGTTGTGATGGCACCCAGGAAGAAATTTCAGATTGTTTCTACATTGTGGTCTGTTTTAGGTTTTAAAATTCTTGTCTTGTGTATTTGCCCCTTTGTTTCTGAAATTTGAAACCTTCAAAAAGTTAGCTGCGCAATTTCCTGTTTTATGTATCCCTTACAAACACGGAACATAGAGTTAGAGAATAAAAGTTGAACTAGCTGCCAGTTAATTCTGATAGATAAACCTCAAATTATTAGCCATTTCTTAAGACTAGAGAAATTGAAGTGATCATTCTTGTTCTCCATTGCTGCAATTTTATTTATTTATTTTGTGTGTATGTAATGCTATCATTTAAGATCTCCTTCGTTTCAAATAAGGGCCATCGTCAGGTTTTGGCTGCTTTGTTACGCTCTCTTATATAATAATAATAATGTCCATACTGGTCTTATTGGGTTACAAATAAAGCCCAAGTAATTTTTAATTTCAATAAGGATATTCATATTCATTTCATTTTAGGCCCATGAAACCCGTGTATTATTATTTATTTAAGCTGCTAGCTTGACCTGACGTCTCTCCAAATTGTTAGCCCACACACTCAACATTCCTAGTCCTTTTTTCTGCATTAATTGTTTAGTAAACAAGTAGCTAGTTAATCAACAATATGAAATGAACTAGTGATAGATTTTGTTGGGTCTCTTCTAGGTTATAGAAACATCACTAGCATTCAGCAAGGCATCAGTTTATGTTCACTCTAGCCATATTGATGTCAATGTATCGCTAGAAAAGATGCATGGAAATTGAATATGTATGTCCATGGAATACAATTTAACGGGCTTTTTATCAATTGGAAATTGCAATCCTACTATAGGTCGCCAAAATACAACGATTAGGAAGAAATTGTGATGGATTCATTTTTTGGTCGTAACTTTGATGAATCGTTGACAGGCAAAGCCTTTATTTGCAGAAGTTCCTTTACATGTTTCCCTAGCTAGCTAGCTAGCTAGCAGATGAAAGAAAATTCATGATATCTTCTTAATTACAACGGTCTACGTGTGCGATTGTGGATGAACCATGGCGGTATTAATATCCTAAACAAGATGGTTAATGTGTGTATTAAGGAAAGGTCTGGTCTTACCTAAACTAATAGTTTTAATGCTAATTATTGCAAAAGAATATTACGAAACACCAAAACGTACAGAAGTAGCTAGCACATCTATGATCTACCACACTCCCATGCATGTCTTCTAAGTTGACTTCCTAGGATACAACCAACCAATTAAGTTTTTTTCTTATGAAAAAACCCAATAAGTTATCCACCCGATCATATTGTTTGAAGCTACATGTGACGTGACTGATAAAAATATATTGCTACAGTGCTGCAACTATATATGTATTAATTTGTTTCTGGCTTGGAGAAGATACTTTCAGATCCCAGAGAAGTTCTGAGTTAAAAATAAGTTTTCCTTATCCAGAACAACCATGCATTTTATAAGTAGAAATCAGAAATCCTGGATCTAATATTATTTTTATGCATGACCTTTATCCACCAGGCCACTTATGATACAGCCTGCTCTAATGCCATTTTTTTTAATCCTTGTGATATTAAGGTTGTAATACATTGAGACATGTACTATCAATTTAGTTAATTTTATTTTTAAACTATCATGTTTAGGACAAATAATGTTATCCTTCCATTTGATTTGACCCAAAAACCCTTTTAAAAAATTTACATGTTCTGCTTTGAGTTGAAAAGTTGTATATATACTAATAAAAATTCTATCAATTTTCAAAATAATTTTAAAATTTTTTGACATTAGTAAGATTTTAAAAAAAAACATTAAATATTTACAAAATTGTAAAAAATAGAATATAATTTAGAATGATCTCAAACATTTTTTGAAGGTCCTCAAAAAAAAAACTTTTTTGAAGGACTTAAAATATTAATGTATATTCTCCATAAATGAACTTAAGGGTTTTTTTCCATATATGTACTCTATCCTTGTAAATTTTTTATTGAAATACTTTATTTTTATTTTTGCTTGATTGAAATCCTTTATTTTATGATTTTATTTATTTATTTTTACTTACAACCTTTCGTTATAACACCGTATCTATTTTTAATTTAACATGTTATCATTAAATTTTATCTATCATTAGTTGACAAGTGATACTATAGATCTCATAACACAGTAAATCAGTCTTAATTAAAAAAAATGATTTAAAATACAAAAAATGGGATGAAAAGATCAAAACAACCTCAACCCTAATTTTTTCCAAACTCAAATAAAAAAACCCCTCTCCCTCTCTACTCACCGTCTCCATCTGCCGAGTTTCCCTTTTATTTCTTGTTGATTGATTTATTTTAGATTGCGAAAGAACTGACAACAATTCTTCTAAATAAACAATCAGTAACAGTACTTTGCATGGCCAGGACAATATTCAACTCGCTAGCGACCTAATTGGGAATTTGGCAGGAGTTAATGGAATCCGAAAGGGAAATATCCAAACCTAAGTAATAGAGATCCACCTGCTCTGTAGTTAGGAATTAATTAGGGGTGGAGTTGTTGTGGTGTTTTCCTTTTTTTTTTTTTTTTAAATAACATTTTATTATTTAAATCAGTTTTTAATTTTGTTTAATTTAGACAGATTTACTGTGTCTCGTGGAATTGACAACGTCATGTGTTAATTATTAATAAGTGAAGTATAATGATAAAATGATATTTAGATTAAAAAAAAAATCACAATAAAGGATTTCAAGTAAAAGTTTTCAAAAAAATAGAAAGTTTTAATAAGTTTAAAAAAATGCAAAAAAAAAAAAAAAATCATCAATTTTTTTTAAAAAGTTTTTTTTTAATGATAATTGTCAAATAAAAAAAGATAAATAATATTTACTCAAAACTTGATGGTTTAAAGATAAAATTAAGAAGATTGATAATAAATACTTCAAAAGTGCCACAACCTTGAACGAAAATTGTTATTAAACGGAAATGGCCTTCCCCGGACACAAAGCCAGGCAAAACAGAAAAGAAACATTCAAGAGTACGTAATTGAATATCCATGACCCATGGATTGATATATTTAATCAATTAGTAAGTAAATTAGTAGTGTTTGGTCAAACAGCTCAAATAGATCTGATTGTCTCTACGTACCAAAATCCAAAAGAGGTGAGTAATTGCATGTACAATTGTATTCCTTACTGTGCATTTGCAGTGTCTTTTACGGGCCTCAAGTACTTCTTTCGATAAAAAAGCGCGAATGCCTAAAATGGTAACTCTGATTATGGTCGACGTCCCTTGGTTTAGATGCTACTTAGCCAGCACTTTTATTTGACTTAATGAGCCTCGCCTGCTGCTGCATACTTGATTTGATTTGATTAAAGACCAAGTGGCATAGTTACTGTGGGTCAGTCCATTTTAATAGATTTCAGCTGTTGAAAATCATGTAATCAATTATTTAAAAAATCATTCTTGTTCGAAATGCTTGCATGCATGCATGCGTGGATCCGGGTCCGATATTTAGAGATCGTTTTTTATTTTTTTGACAAGTTGGGGAAGCAGGTTAAAAGGTTCTTTAGGGCTGCTTCCAAAGCAACATGTGTTGCTGCCTATGAATATATCCGGTTCATAAGGTTTCTAAAAGGACAAGTTGTGGACAAGTCTGGAATTAGTCTAATGTGACATCCAGCTCAGGCATCAAACAGCAAAAATCTGTTTCAGGAAACTAATGATATTGTTTCGAAGCATCATCAAGTGGGTAACCTTCTCAACTATAGTTAGTAATCTCGAATTCATAAGTACAGAAAATAAAATGGAGCTTTTTAAAACCAATAATACTTTGTTGTTAAGTGTTTAACAGTACTCCATAGAGCAACTTCTCAGTTAATTAATTGTTGCAGTAACAATCTTCTGTTCATGGTTCTCATCCTGCTTCAGACAAAAGTTGTCTTCTTATTCCTTTTAACTTGTTATCCTTTGTCCCAACTGGCCATGCTTGCTTCTTGTTTCATCTCCCTCTGATCTCTCTCTCTCTCTCACACACACACAAAAGAGATGTTGTGCAATGAATTTGTTTAGGAGACAGTTCAGATGCTGTCTTCTTTCTCTTTAATAACTTATCCTTCGATCAAATTGCTCATCTTCTATTCATCCAACTAAATTCGCCCCAACCAAAATGCTTATATCTTAATCTTTCAACAAAAATAAAATTGCTAACGCCTGTCCTTACAGTATGGCTTCATCTCATCTCCTCTCTCTCTCTCTAATGGATTTTTCTTTCTTTGGTATGTGTGTGACTCAAATTGTTAATTAATTTATTTTAATTCCAAGCATAAAGCTTAACTCAAGATAAGTTTTCAAAATTATTATATGTATAAAAATAAAAAGATTGAGCTTTCAAATTAATCAAACTATCATCACGGGTCAAGGACTTGCATTATTAATTTTTGCTCTCGACTGTAATTACAATATATAATTAGGATATTATGGCATTTTTTGCCTTCAAATTATTGCATTTTGGCAATTTTAGACCCAAAATATGAAATTGCGTAATCTAAACCCCCAAAGTATAGGGGGATTAGACAAATTTGATTCAATTGTCTAATCTTTGTTATTTCTAACGATCAATTGTCGATTGACCGTTATTTAAATTTACAATTATCTATCTCTCTCTCGTTATTTCCTCACATCATTACCACAAGTTAACAAGACTTCCCTCCCTTGTAGCTTGCAACCTACTCAACCTTGATATTGAAAACGCCAACTTTCTCCTCTTCTTTCACCTTAGGCACCACCATCTTCAAAACCTCATTCTTTATCTCCGCTTTAATTTCACCGAGTCTTGTATATTTTCTCAAGCAATTCGATTATGTTGTTGTACGTCTTTCCGCTCTCCTCATCCTTCGATTATTTTGCTCCTTCTCCTTTAATGATCAAAGTGTTCTGTTCCACAAAGACCTTCACATCCTCCTTGTCGAGACTAGGCATATCGATGCAAAGATTGAGAGCCTCTCGGTCTTGCGTGCATCCCACCCATAATGGAGTCCAACGAGCATAGGAGGCGGAGAGGAGTGGGTTTTGTAAAAGCAAGTCCGTCGTGTTAAGGATTTAGGATAATCTCTTTGTAGGTGAAAATGGATTAAACAAATCTACAATATTATAATTATAATTATAATTGATTAATCACTATCAATCTCGCAATCTTTGCAATTTCTCCTCTTCAATCAATCATTCTTGCTAAAACCTTCAGTTCCTCTCGGCTTCAACTAAAAGAAAAAATTAAGTAATGATGAACTAATAGTTGACTATTAGAAATAACGAGGATTGGGCAAATTGGATCAAATTTGCTTAATCCCCTATACTTTGGGGTTCAAAATACGTAATTTCATACTTTGGGCTTGAAATTGCCAAAATGCAATACTTTGATGGCAAAATTTACCATAATACCATATAAATAGCTAGCTAGCTAACCCTAATAGTTTAAGTATTTAATTATCAACGTAGTTAATAGGATCCAATTAAGAAAGTAAGCAAAGTCAAGAATTAAGATTATGGATTCCTAATTCTAATATTATTATGTACTTAAAACTCCCTCGTGATGCCTAATTTCATCTCAAAAATTATTTTGGCAATATCTATAACTCATAGTCCGATTCTTAACTAACAAGCTAATTAACGAAAAGTTTTATGAGATCTTTAATCAATTTGTAGGATCCTCCTATTGATAATTTAATGGTACATTTTTGTCATATCACCATAAAAAAGAAATTCATTTAGCGATGGTTTAAACCATCACAAAATGGGAAAAAAAAACATGTTGCTATTCTAAATTAGCAATGGTTTTGAGACGGTCCAAAATCGTCGTTGAAAGGCTTCTCGCTAATTAATTAGTGACAGTTCAAGAATTTCGTCACTAATTTAGAAACGATTTATCCATCACTAAAAAATAAAAAATCTCTCGCTAAATAACGAGAAAAGGTCACCGGTTTAGCAATGATTTTCAAAAAATCATCATTAAATTTAGCTTCTATTTAGCGACAGTTTATATAAACCATTGCTAATTATGACTAAATTCAGCTTGGATTTAGTTACGGTTTTAAATCGTTGCTAAATCAAATTTTTATTTTTTGGATAATATTTTCAGTTAATTATTTCATCATTTACATGTCACTAATAAAGAATATTAAATCCAATCCAATATAACAACTACAACAACGATATAAAATAGAATTATAGAAAATAAAAATCCTTTACAATATATAAAATCCAATCCAATCCAATATAGATTCAAACACGAAATTATATTTAACTCGTATTAATATTTTCATAAATAAAACATAAGAGTGATAAAAAAAAAAAAGATAATGTGATGATGCACCTATATGTCACATATCAACATTTTCATCCGATGCATGATGATCAATAAAAGGATTGGTGAGTGAATTACCTTTTTGCATATTCGGTAACATTTATCGCATTTGCTACATTATCACATACTCGCTTCGATTATGCTACTCCAACTACTTTTGATTTTCTATAGTGATCAACAATACTCTCTAGTTTCTAAACCTTTCTTCTTGTCTAGCAAGTATTGGCCTCTAATTTTTTTGATGCACCTCAATATTGACATGAAACCGCGATATGATCAAACTAAAGGATGAATTGACATGTGAGACGCCCGTGACCCGAGTCCATGTATTCTCTTTCTCTTACTATCTCCTCCTCTAACAACCCTCTTAAATATCTCGTTCATGTTAACGTCGGGCATTGAAATACCCTCCGTCCCCCGACTAGTAACCTCCTCCTCAAATATTTTTTCAATGGTGTTCTACATAATTGCATACATTTTAATATTAAATAGTAATCTTAATAAGTTACATAAAAGTGACATATATGTGAAATAAACTTATAAATTACTTACCTTAAGATTTTTTGCATGTTGATCGATGAATAAATACTTATTATAACCTTTTTCCCGTGAGTCTTCAAGAACACCTCGTTAGCATCAAGTTCACGACTAACTCTTTACGCCGAAACAAATATACTTAAATATATATTGATTTTGCAATAATTGTAAATAATATATATATATATATATATATCTATATATATATATAGGATTTACCATGCGTAATGCGGCTACTCGTGTGTGATCGAACCCCCATATGTCTAGATAGGCCAGCTCCGATGCCACTCGTCTCGCTCATGTGCTTCGAGCCGCCCGCTCGAATCAAGCTAGAGACTCGGGTTTTGCTCATTCCTTTTGTCATGCATCCCATATCTCCTGTGAGATATACATTGATTTGGAGTGTGTCTTCATATGATAAAGGAAATTTGAATATAGCTTTCATTCCATATTCTACTATCCTTTCCTAATAATTCAATCGAACTCCCGAGTCCCATATAAAGAACTTCTACAAAAACATTAAAAATATTTATTAGTACATTTAAATGAACATTAATCAACTTAATTGAAATGTACTCGTCACATAATAAATTAAGTTACATATTATCTTAAACTTCTCTCAATAGAAATCTTTAGTTTGCTCAATAATTAACTTTCACATTGTTCCGGATAGGTCGACATGCTCATGAAATATCTTATAGATCTAATAAGAGCACACATCGGATGGATACAATCGTTAAACAAAACAATTAACAATTAAATAAGTACGTTAATATAATAATACACCATAAAAATATAATAAAAAAATATGCATAATACATACTCCATACTATCAATGATAGTAATCGAAATATAAGGATCGTAAGTAGAATCAATAATTTTGAAAGACAAACCGGAAGGGGTGTATGGTGACGGGTCATATACGGGTACTTGATCTGCCGTCCCGTTAGGGCATGGGCCTTACTAAAGACTAAGGTTTAGAAGTGCGGACATATGGTCCATACTTACTAGGCTTGAGCTGGGACATGTCAAATGATGATGAGTATGACACAGGGGTTGTGGGAGGGAATGCACTCATGTAGACAGTGGGGACCATGCAACCTATAATAGAAGTAGGACTACCCCTATGTTCACGTTCACGACCATTGACATCATCAATGTCCGAACCACAACCCTCACCTTCCGATCCGGGCCACTTGCGAGTAGAAACGTCTCCTACCATGAGAATAATTTATACATTATCACATTAATTAGTTAATCAAACACAACAACTATAAAACACCTCTATTACCATAAACAAGTTAAAATACATTTATTCTATGATTAATAAATACTTTCATAATTAAATTAAAACACGCACGCACACACATATATATGCGCAAGCCCACACACACACACACACACATATGTTACCTTAACAATTTCATTAAAACTAGGGGGACAATCCAACTTTATAACTAATCACTATCCTAGTCATCATTGTTACGGTTTTCACCTAAGTCTTCATCTACATCCGTTTCAAATTCAACATCATTCTCTTTATTAATTTCATCTCTTTTCTAAATCTATTAGTGATCTAGTTGGATCAATCAACGATTGACCCTTATCGTCGTCAACTTGGATGACATTTTGTTGGCCTTCCATATCGTTTTCCTAAAACAGCTTTTTATTTTTTGTACCATAATAGACAATTCTAGCACTTTTTGAGTCTAGAAGGGCATCTTATCTTATTTATGTTCATATACTCATGATGACTAATGACAAAAGTAATAAATTC